TTCTTCCGGCCGCTCTTCCTCCTCGCTTTCTTGCTTCAGTTCTCGGAGTTCCTTCGCTTTGTCTCTCTTTGACTCTCTTCATTTTCTTTCTTTTGTTTGTTGGTGGTTTTCTTTCTGTTGGTTTGTTAATATCTCTTCCCTTTTTCTCTCGCGTTTTGTCTTTCTCTTTCTCTTCTTTTCTCTTCTCACTAGATAAATAGATAAATGAATAAGTACATAGATTAACTGAAGAAACGTTTATATCAACAACTCACACGGGACGTCGCAACCCAACACGTTTTTTTCCGGCGATTTGAACTGCTATCCGGGGCGTCATCGGGAATACGGGGACGGCGACGGAGTGAGAGGCCGCTGGGATAAAGTCGCAATGGGCCGAAAGCGCCATTTGGGCCACCTGGCGAGGGGGAGGAGGGGGGTGGGGTGGGGACGAGGAGGAGGAGGAGGAGGAGGAGGAGGAGGAAGATGGGGAGGAGGAGGAGGAGGAGGAGGAGGAGGAGGAGGAGGAGATGGGGAGGAGGAGGAGGAAGTGTGATGGGTGGGTTCTGGGGAGGGGGTGATGGGTAGAGGAAGAGGGGTGTGGTGGGTGGGTGTACCTCCACAGGACACTGAGAGACCCCATGGGCGTCCGTTCTGCCAGGTGATCGTTTCCTTCTGAGATGCGAACGGAGATTTTTTTTCGTGTGGCTGTTGATCTAAAGGTGATCTTTGGCCGCTTGTGCTCTCCGTACTAGATAGATAGGTGGATAGACAGAGAGATAGACAGACTGATTGACATATATAGATATGCATGTGCATATAAATGTGTGTGTGTATACATGAATATATATATATATATATATATATGTATATATATATATATATATATATATATATATATATATATATATATATATATATAATATGTATGTATAAATATACATATATATATATATATATATATATATATATATATATATATATATATATATATATATATATATATATATATATATATATATATATATGTATATATATATATATATATATAT